TTGCAGACTGTGCTGTATCTTTTTTTTTTTTTTAAGAAAAATATGTATGTTTTGAAAGTAGGAGGAAAGTAGTAATTTTTTTTGGAGTGGTAGTATTATGGGAATTTGTGTATGTGTACTGCTTTACACTTTTTTTCCCCAAAAAACTTTCTGTATTAATTTATGTATCAATTTGTAATTAGAAAAATAAAATAAAATGTTTTTAAATGAACCATTCATTTCTTTCCTAATGGTTTCTTGTGATACGGCAAGAGTGGAGGGAAGAGGAGGTGGTGGACCAGGTATAGAGTATCACATATTAGGCAACTGGGTCACACTTTATATAACAGAAACAGCAAAGATATAAATGACAGTTTGGTCTCAGTTTGTATACATTCCCATCTACTCTACCCAAACTGAGAATTTTAGATCTGGGGGAAATTTAAAAATCACTTAATGCTTTGCCTAATCCCACAACTTTTTAAAAAATGGGCCTGACGCTCACTGAAATAAAATGACTTGTTCAGTGTTTGTTTAGTGGCAGCTCTGGAATTAAAACTTAAGTCTGATTCCAATGTAAAATTCTTGCTACCTACCACATTAAGCAAGTAATTCTGTTAGACAATACCAATGTAATATAATTGCTAAATACGTACCTAAGCAAATGTGGCTTAGTTAAAGATTTTTAAGTGAATAAAATGGCATATCAAGAATACAGACCTGAGCTCTGGCATTTGACTGCTAACTAGAGGGCTGGCGGTTCAAACCCACCAGCCACTCCTCGGAAGGAAGGTTGGGCAATCTACTTCCAAAGTGATACCACCTCAGAAACCCAAGAAGGGGTCACTATGAGTCGGATCCGACTCCACGGCAGTGCATTTTTGCGAGCTGTATTTAGTTTATGTTTAATGAATTTCTATGTCTAATGTAATAAATATGGTATATAAGAATAGCATATTCATTAATTTGATTTCCTTTAAATTGAGAAAATAATCATAACAGAACTCCCACATCCCCCAAAAAATACCCAAACCCACTGCTATGGAGTGGATTCTGATTCATAGCCACGCCCACTGGGTTCCCAACACTCTAAGTCTTTACTGAAGTAGTTTGCCCCATCTTGCTTCTGCGGAGTGACTGGTGGGTTTGAACCACCAACTTTCTGGTTAGCAGTCAAATGCTTTAGCCGCTGCACCACCAGAGCTCCTTATCAAAACAGAAGGTAATTTTTTTTTTCCATCCAAGTTTTTCTTTAAAAATACTTTTTTAAAAGTGGTTTGTGGAGAGGTTTGCTAAAAGAATATTGGCTAGTTTGCAACCACCCTTTAACAATGTGTGTCAAATTAGGCAAGGTTCATGAAAAAGTTACTGAATAAGCAGTTCGACATAAGGCATTACAGTCAGTGCCATGAGGTCTCTATTTGTTGCTCAAAATACACTAACTTCTACTAGAAAGTATTAAAAGAGTTAGTGAAAGGTCCCAGGATATACGCCCTGGCTAGTTTAAGGGCAGCAACAATTTTAATCAAATAGGTTGGCCAGATGAACATCTTAAACAAAAGGCAGTTAGCAGAGTTTGGGAGTAAGACGATTCCCTGAGGGTAAAATCCGACTGTTTCCAAAGAGTGATGAGGAATCGAAAGAACCTCGAATTTCCTAGAAGTTTTTTCTAGCTATGTTCCCTACCCTCTTGGCTGCTGTGACCCCAGAAAACCTCAGATCTCACCAAAATCATTTAATTCTTCTCACGAAAAGCTGGAACTGGCGGGAAAAGAAATAGCAGGCCTGGCACTAAAGCGAAGCAAAATACTGGGCGTGAACCACCGCAGAGCTGTGGGAGAGAGCTGGGCGGGTTCCGCGGGGGAATGCTGGGTGTGTGGGCGCGGCCCGTGACGGCACGCTGGGTGTGTGGGCGGGGCCAGTGAAGGGTAGCTGGTGTGTGGGCGGGGCGGTGTGCTAGAAGCAATAACCTGGAAACACCCAGATCTTTAAAAATTGAGAATGAATGGAGAATGTGATGTAATCTCATCCATGTCATTGTGGGGGAAAAAAAAAGATGAAAATTAACCTCATATTTCAATAGACATTGAGTACATACTAGAAAAATATGGCCACAAAACAGATGAAAACATTAACCTAGTGTTTTTAAATAAAGAAATAAAACAATCACACTTTGAAAGAACACCATAAATTAGATACGCTTAAAAAAAGACATTGGATAGACCATAATTGTATATTAAATGAGAACTAACAAATCTCATAAGATAATCTGAAAAAAAATTTTTTTCAGAAATAAAAAATGAGAAGAACACACAATTAAGGAAATAGAGGTTGGGAAGAAGATTTTTTTTTTTTTTTTTCCAAATAGAAATAAATAAAAGGTCTCAAGAAAGTGATAGATACAGAAAGCAAGCAACAATGTTTTTGAGATA